TGGAAAGTACACTAGACTACTGGCTGAAACTGAAAGTCACAGTATTCTGGGAATGAACTCTGACATTATGCCTCCAACTGTCAACTACGAACGGTCTTATACAGTAGTTTGGAAGAATAGAAAGGATTGGATACTCCGGGAGAAGGAAATTTCAAGAGCAGATAGTTGTTAGGTCACAGATAGATGAAAAACACCTTCGAGCTCTGGTGCAAGTGTTTTCAGTTGCAGAACCAGGACAGATATATCAACCTGCTTAGCGACCTATGCGACTCTATTTCAGACAGAAATCTATGCTATTAAATTTTTTGCAGAGAGATTCGTAAAATCCAACTCAACACACAAGTCGGACAGTCAAGCGGCGTTGGAAGCTTCATCAAACCAGAACATGTCATTGACATTGCTTAGGTTTTGCCAACAAACACTGAACACCTGGATGGCAGAAGCTTGAAACCAAACAGTTGTTGGACTATAGTAGAGATGAACTACGATGTCTAACAGGCCTTTTTACAGTACACTGTTGTCTGAATCATCATATGCAGAAACTTGGACTGTCGGAAGACAGTGTGTTTGGAAAATGATGAAACAGCAGAGCATATACTTTGTGTCTGCCCCTCTGCAGACCGGTTCAGGTTTCCAGAGTTTGGTAGAACCATACGTCTACCATCTAACCTGAAAGATCACCCACCATATAAACTAATCGGCTTCGTCAAAAAGCTGGGTTTATTTGGTCGAGTTTGAATAGGTCTGAGCCACAATAAACCCTTGCGGGTTGCGGTGGAGAGTCGAATAGGCCCACTCACTTTTGACCTAACTCAACTAGTGAGATTATTTTTCATAAATAGGTTCAACCAACATTATTTACGAAAGGATATATCAACGAAATAACACCTCAACTGAGGTATGAAAGTAAAGTCACTGTTTTTTTTTCTATAAAGGTCCGAATGTCAATTACATTACAATTACATTTTCGTACACTAAAACTTATTATTGTGAGAATACGTGTAAAAACAATATTTTGTGAGTTGTACTGAAAATAATTATATTTAATGTAAATCACTGAAATTCGCTCAACCATCTATATTTTGAGATTTTTGTTTCAATACTGGATATTTGAAAACAAGAAGTATTCGTCGATGGGATGGTGTTTTTGAAATATTTTCCTTTCAGTTATTGCTGATGAACTTACACTGACAATCATATTTATCTTCAATAGCAATATTTATAGGAAAAAATATGTGCCTGTAATATTTTCCTGGATGATATACATATTTGCCTGAATAATTCATTAATATTGGTCTCAGTTTCCATCTTTTGTTTCAAGTCTTCCAGTAGCATATACAATGGTGTCCATTAAGTTTACAACAAATAGGAAATATTTTTATCAATTGCACCATCGCCAAAATTGCTTGAAGTTGCTTGAAGTCAAACAGCATACAGAGCCGGTAAACAAATATCAGATCCATTCTAAAATGAATTACCTTCATGCAAATGACAAAAACTATTAGTAGGAAAAGTTATTGAGAATTCATACTCATACTCACTTTGACAAATTTTTTTTCAAATAGTAACATTAGCAGAATTCATTCGGATTGATTCATTTTTTAGGTAATCATCAACTTTCACCTATGTTGCAATAATATTCATTAGCCTTCAAAAATCACAAATTTTTTTCAATATAATCAAGACATCAACTAATTTACACCGCTTATATCCAATGAAATCAGGAAATGAAATCGTTAACGCTTGTCTCTTCTCAACTATACTAGCAATCAACAAATTAACTTTTCAATCGATTACAATCATATCTGACGTTAATTTATCGTTTCGACCAATTACTGTACAATTTAATTAAGAACCGTCTGTTGCTAATCAAGACATTACCGGTCAAATTCATTTCGTTTGAGACGTTTGATCATCTAGTAGAATCATTCTCTTGTTCAACAGAGCATTTAGTCATCAGTTGATTAAAGCTTCTTGGTGTTTGTATACCAGACCGCAAGGTAACATTATCTAACGCAGATGCTTTTGTGTTAATAGGAAGGCGGTTAATGCAAGGTTCTATACGTGAATTTAATGTTTCCTAGTGGTTTGCAAATATCGCGACACATTAATCACTTCTCGGGTATGAACAGCTGAACGAATACGGGTCGTAGAGATGTTTTGTTTTATTCAAGTGAAATCTATTCGTTTGAGTTTAATCGAAAAACCATCACAGAACTAGAAAACAAATAGAATTCTCCGTTCATTGAAAGTCAAATATTAAAAGTTATGCGTTATCAATTAACAATTTTAATGATTTTCAAAACAATTCAGTAGAGCTAGTATTTCAAATAAAACAATCTAGAGTAACCAAGAAGAAATGAAAATTTTTGCAACTAGAGATTAGTCTTTCAGAAATTCTCATAAAACAGAAAACTGAGAAATGGTACTTGAGAGAGCAAAACTACAAGGTTATTTCAGATTGCTGTAGTAAAAGGAAGCCTTCAAGCAAGCGGTCCAGGAAAAAATACCATTTCTTTGATTCCGAGGTTCCCAGGACTAGCTCTGATATCATAATAAATATACCAATCGATTATACGAAATCTGCTCAGTAGTTTTGAAAGTACGCAGCAAAATCTGGTATACGCAGCAAGATTTGAGCTAAGCTAAGTCTCAAAAGGTAGCGAAAATTTTGAAGTTTGAGGCTGATATAACATGGCATATTCAACTATTTCCATGACCAAAATGATGGGTTAAGGTACCGAACGCAACAGATTCACTGCCTCAAAGACGGTAATTGAAGCAACCACAATACTTATGGGGAAATTGAAGCTGGAGAAAATCATTTTCTGTGATGGGTCTTAAGAACAAAATACTTTTGACCTTGATGATGTCATGGTTTTGTTAAAATATCTCAGATTTTCAGCCAACTCAGTTGAACTCATGAAAAACTATCTCAGTGATCGCTCTCAGTGTATTATATTAAACGAAATCAAATCAGATTTTCTTGCTACTCGGAATGGTGTCCTGCAGGGGTCCATCCTAGGGCCACTTTTGTTTGTAATATATACCTCCCAATTCCCTCATTGCCTTCGTTACACAAACATACATAGTAACGCTGATGATACGCAGATATACATGCATTTCGAGGAATCTTCTGTAGATGATAGTTGCTGAAAAATGAATACAGATTTGAAATGTCTGACTGAACTTTCGGAAAAATATTGTCTTTCTGTGAATGTCAACAAATCGTTTGTCATGCTTTTTGGGAGGTCAGCAACTAGGAAAAAGTGTTTGAATAATATAAGCATCATTATCGATAACGTGTCGTCACCAATAAAAGGCGAAGATGACAATATAAAAAACCTTGGTTTGCTGATAAATCCGTCGCTAAGATTTTCATCGCATATCTCACTGATTTTGAAAAGAGGGTATTGTAAACTCAAAACAATCTACCGCAACCGTGAACTACTGAATCGCCAATCTAAACAAATTCTTTGCGATGCACTTGTTTTAGCCCATGCGAACTATGCTGATGTGGTGTACAGTCCTTATCTGTTACAAACCGATAAGAGAAGATTGCAAGTATTACAGAACTCATGCGTCAGATTGATCACTGGTTCGCGAAGACGGGATCATGTGACACATCACTTACCAAAACTGGGTTGGTTGAATATGGAAAATCGGCGTATCTTACACATGCATGTACTCTATTTAACAAAATCATAAATCACATGAAGCCTACTTATCTCTACAACAAATTCAGGTTTCGGACCGACGTTCATAATCTCAATTTGAGATTCAAGAACTTGCTCACTCCCCCTCACCACAAAACTTCCCGTTATCGTGGATCGTTTTCTTATTGCATAACCTGGCTCTTTAACAAATGACCTAACGAATTGAAGAATTCAACTTGTATTATATTCAAGAAAAAAATTAAACATATTTTGCTCATGAATGAAATTCCTAGCATGCTGAAGTAAAAAGTGACGATAACGACCAAGATGCTATCTATGAGATTACCAGGACATGAACCAAGAATGTGGAAGGTGAGCGAGAGTCCTTACGGTGGTACAGCTCGAAGATGAAGCTGCAGAGGAAAAGCGATTTGTTATTCGGGTACCGACGTCTAAACCAGGCTTTGCAGCAGATAACAGTGAGAATCTACGTTTCTCTTTGATATTGAAGGTTCTTTGTATATCCCACAGATAACGCAAGAGAAACCGTCATAGGGCTTATTCTTATTGAAAACAGAAGACATTGATCGTTACATCCTGAGCCAGATCTGAAACTACTGCTGAGATTATAGAGGATTGAAAGAGTGCGGTCTCTCTGGTCATGAATCATCGATGTAATGTCGACGGTCGATGTAAAGCATACACTGAGGGTAGTTACGGAAAAATATCGAAGTGGTACAAATGGGAATCAAGAATTGCTTCAACCATTTTCAATGGTTTAATTAGTATAATAATTTCTATACTTACAAATTCGAGATTTCTTTATAGTATAGTGTTCTCAATATAATCAGTTTGTCTCATTAGATATTATTTTTCATCAACATATTGTAACGAATCTGAAGCCGCTTCTGACCGGTTGAATTGATACGCCAGCCGACTCATCGAACAAACACATGACCCCACCTCGAAAGAATGCAGCCTGGAACCGCCAGTAAAATTCTAGACGAGTACCGAATCGTCTACAGAATTCTCGAAAGGACCTTTACCGATATAAGCCCGTCTTCCCGACCCAAGAGGGCAGTTGAGAAAGTGAATCAAGCGGCTAATCAAGAAATTCGAATAGTGGAAATAAATTAGGCGTTAGATGTAATAAATGAATTAGTTAATGATAATTGAATATAAATTTCTTCAAGACAGTTAATTCATTAATTTGTCATTTTTTAATTGTAAAGGATTGGTTATTAACACACCTTATCCTAGTCGACCCCATTAACACCAAAAAAAGATAATACTTTGGAACAGATTGTTTGTTTTATTCGAAACATAAAAAATTATTATACTTACGTTCCCAAGCACAGCCATACAGCTCCACTCTCATACAAACTGTTCGCGGGTGTTCGCTATAGGGGATGAACCGTACTTTGCTGGCGATGAATGGTAACTCCAACCTTTGTCGAACCACAAGGTAAGTATTGCTATTGCCTGTCAAAACCTGAAAAAAAAGTAAAGATTAATCAACTAAAGAAAAAGCAAAAGTAATGTGAAAGAACAAAATGGCCATAATGCATATTATGATATAGAACGATATCATCCTCTACAAATCCATCAATAATAGTTATTACTATTCTATGGTTGTTTCATTTAATTTACAAATGAACAATGGTTTTTCATCCGCAAAAATTCCATAACTAAATAACAACAAATGAAAATGAATTCCTCAAATATTGGATTTTGTTATCGGTGTATTGTCCAACTGAGATCAATATTGCACTGAAACGTCGAATATAAAAACATAATTTATGTCTTGTTCGCCGCGGAAATGAAAATATTTATACACCTTCCATGATTTACGTTCGTAATAATTTCAATTTATAGAACAATGAAAAGTTGAATTCGAATTTTTCACTTGATGAGACATATCTAGACACAACTTTGTGAACGAGAATACTCATCGATATTTCCTGATTCGTTTATGGAAATAAATAGGGGTGTTCAGTATGTTTGCGAACGAATGATAAAAAACAAAAACAAAAAATTGGATATGTGATTATTTCATTGACCTTGGTTATTGACCAAAAGACCTGGTTCACTGATTTTTTTGTTGGGCACAAACAAGCATTTTCATGAATGAAATAACGTCTTTCAAAAGCAATGTGAAAGAACTAAAGTATCCAACATTGCAAAAATATATAGTTCAAATCATTAACACTGAAATTACTATCGACCTGCGACACAAATGAATTTGCAAAGTATTTTGAAAACATTTTGGAAGAATAAAGATCTCACTTATCCCTAAGACCTACAGCGGAGGAAAATGTACCTTGGTCTGTCAACCGGATAGTTTTATAGCATTTGGTAGAGTTTTACTCTTTCCGGCTGACTGAAAGATCACTCACCAAATGAAGCAAACGGCTTCATTTGGTGAGCGAGTTCGAGCCACAATAAACCCTTGCGGATTGCAATGGGGTACACATAATGGGAATTATTATCGATCTGTTAATTAAGTTAACAATTCAGTAATGTTTCTTTTTACACGCTTTATATTAGCTTCACCTGTTTGTATGTATGTATGTTTGTATGTATGTATGCTTGTATGTATGTTTGATTGCTTTCAACTCCCAAGCTCGAGATCTGTATTGACAGAATTATTGACATTATTATTGCTTGATCTATTCGCGGGCAGATGGCGCTGTACGTAACTTCTATGATATTTCTTGATATACTCGCGGAAGATGGCGCTGTACGAAATCTCCTTGATAGGTTGTTCAAAATGAAATCAAAATTAAAAATGGATTTTCATATTGGATACTTGTTGTTCCTCAGGCAGGACACTGATATTGAACAAAAACCAGGTGTACCCAAACTGCATTTTATGCAAAACCATTCGTAGATAAGCCCACCGCATTGCGGGTAAGTTTTTCCCCATCATATGAGATCGTGTAACAGCTGCCAAAACGGATTCGAAGTAGATCTGTATTTTCATAACCCTTTATTACAAAAAGTGTAGGTAAACAATATACCTTTCGGAATTGACGAATGAAAGAAATGTGTTTTGAACCAACGTAAAATATTCATTTGAAATTTTGAGAAATGGGTAAGTAGTAATTACTTTCCTATGCCCTCGTCTGTGTATTGAATACATTCATACGGGTATAAAGTGTGCTCTTGAAGGTTGCAATAAATGCATTTTTTATCAAAAGCGGCATAATTTTCATAAAAATGTTGGAACTGGTCAATTTTTCAATTTTGGCCCACACAGATGGCCCTACTAGCATCAAATTCATATGATTTTTATTTAACCCTAAACTTCAACAGACATATGTTCTTTCACAGTTGTTGGACTATTGGTTCGTGTGATAGTCCATTTTGAGTGAAACAAATTTTGTTAGTTTGAAGAGAATGGATAAAAAAGAATGATGAAGTACTCCTCTTGAAGTGTCAACTGACACGTCAAGAAGAGTACTTCGAACATGCCACTGAAGATCACTGTCGCAGTTGCAGTTGAACCGTTTGGAGATTATAACCAAAGGAGACCACGGCAAAACCCGGAAACCAACCAAAACAAAGACAGTGCTGTTCCATTAAAACATTGCACCGTGTCACAAATCAATGAAAATGATAGCAACATTTTATGAAATAGGCTTCGAATTGCTTCCGTATCCAAAATATTTTGTGGATCTGGCCCCCAGCGACTTTTCTTTTGACGTCGATAAAGAGTATCGAAAAACTGTACGACTGCTATAATGGTTGTATCTCCTTCGATAGCAACTATATTGAATTATAAAATCAAATTTCATTTTAAGTTTTCATTCTAGCCTACGAAAGTTTCAGCTCAAATGTTACTATTTTCGGTAAGGCGTACACAAAAAACAAAATTGTCTTCAATTTTCTCTGTAATGACTGAGAAATTTTGATAGCTCAAAATTTCAGGAAGCCACTTGACCATCTCTATATCAGCGTATGTGAACAAAACTGCATCTGAGAGTTTTAATCTTCCTCTTTGAAGATGATCACTTGGTGATCGAAACACGTGTCGAGGTGTTAAAAATAATTATTTCGTGTTGGCAAAAAACTCCAGTAATAATCACTATGAAAAGGTTTTTCCTTGTTTGAAATTGAAAATGGAATAAAATTTGCAGTGTTGCGATTACTCTCGTATGAAATATCTCCTGAATCGGCAGTCAATGTGATGAAGTAATCTTATGGTTGCATTGAAGTTTCATAGAAACAAAGTTTTGAGTACTACTGCTACAACCACTTTATCCCAACTTCAAACTTTTTGTAGGTACTTCGCTTTTGCACTACGCGAGTAATCTTATGGTTGCATTGGAATTTCATAGAAACAAAATTTTGAGTACTACTGCTAGAACCACTTTATCCAAACTTCAAACTTTTTGTAGGTACTTCGCTTTGCACTACGCGAGTAATCTTATGGTTGCATTGAAGTTTCATAGAAACAAAATTTTCAGTACTACTGCTAGTAGTACTCAAAATAGCTAGTAGCTAGTAGCTAGTAGTAGCTAGAACAACTTTATCCAAATTTCAAACTTTTTGTAGGTACTTCGCTTTGCACTTTCCTGTGTCGTTCATCGAATATATGGGTTCGAATTGGCTGCGGTGGTAGTGCGCCCGACTCACGATCGGAAGGCCGTGGGTTCGATTCCCGCCTCGACCAGATATTTTTCTCGAGAGAATTCATCTGGTTGAAGCTGGGATCATTCTGCAACCGTGTTAGGAATCACACGTTAAAATGTATGACCTCGTTAGTTCTTAGCTCGCACAAGTTTCTAAATATCTGACAGTTGTCGTTCGTATGGGGGCGACAGCTGATTAACGGAAAAACAGATTTTGAATAGAACAGATTTTTAAACAGAAACGAAAGACGTTTACCATACCCTACTGTGTAGGTAGTTGGGAGAGATTGATATTTTGAAATTTATTTCCTTATACATATGTATCTCTCCTCGATAGTTTTCGCTTTTGATTTCTGTTAGAGTTTTGGTATATGGGATGTTTCTTCCATGCTTCGGGCTTTGTTCACAAGATGGAGTTGTTATTAGATAACAATCTTTCCCACAGATGAAAGTTTCATTTATGTAGCGGAGCCGTGTTGAAATCAATCGAGTCCCAGACACTTTGCTGTCTGGGTAGGATCTTTTCTGTACTGACGAGAAGTAATACCTTGAAACCGCGGTCTGCAGGTGATCTACTTGAATAACTCCAGCATAGTTCTGCTGCTAGATGAAGGATAAACATATGCGATACTAACCTCTGTGAGGTATCTTGCATAAATGTCTGTAGAACATAATTCAATATCCAGCGTGATATTAGCTGAGAAACTAGTTGTTTTCCAAAAGATGTTTACCACCCCGTAATGTGTAGATAGTTAGAAAAGATTAATATTTCAAATTTTTTTTCGAAATGTTTTTTTCCTGATACCTATGTATCTCTTCTCGATAGTATCCACTTTTGATTTGTGTATTTTTTTCAGTATTCTATTACGAACGGCTACCTCCGAGGTTTAAGGAAGTCTCATCTTTTAACGTGCGAAAAAACAGAAAAATATTTTCCCAAAAACCTATCACCAAATGATAGACGCACTTGACGCTGCTTCATTCATTTGAATTATTATAATATGGAAATTCAGAGTCAGTATATGAGGTTCAGCCTCGGGTGCAGAGATGAATTTCCTGATAAATCAATAAGGAAATATTTTCTATAAATGGAAAAAATGGTGAATGAAATACGACTAACGAAAAGCCGTGATTTTCTATTCTCTTCAACAGTCATATCATATTCATCAATATAAATGAACACAATGAACTATTATTATCTTCGCACAGAGTTAATATAATTCAGGTCCTTTACCAGAAGCTCAGACACCTCAGAAAGTCTTATAATCGAGTGCTGTGATCAGACGCAATGAGTCTATTTTACCCGTTAATATTTCTGCCATTCCACTGCAGACCGATATTATTCTGAAACTTCTATGACTAGTATACCACTATAATGGAATAGGCGCATTTCACGGTGGTTTCTTTATCTAATGTCAGACTACTTTATGCCCCGCATACGTTAGACAGATTTCCCAACTTCACGGTTGAATGTTTGTTGTCAGTCATTATTACTATTATTCAGCAGATTTAAGAGGTACATATTTCATTTTTAACTGAAATTCAAATGAAGATTCATTCATTCGAAAACTGAAATCAAAATTTCGGAATTACTAAGGGCAACTCGATTGTTTTGTTTCCCTGACAACTCCCTTGTTTCAAATTGCATAAAGACTAATTTGGCAGTTTTGTAGATTTGTGGCAAACAAAATTTCATCCTTAAATATCTGATAAAGTTGACTAATATACATATGATGAAATGAATCAATTGATTGATCTCTGGAAATTAATGATGAACATAATGATGATAAACAAAGTTCGAATAATCTGTCGGTGCATCCATTCCAGTAAAAGAGAATAAAGTTTCATGAAACAACTG